AGAGCTTTCCAATTCCGGACATGTAGCGGCGGTAAGAGTAGCTGTGTCAAAGTGGTGGGTGGTTGTAGCCGTCGTTTGCGCAGCACCTGGGCGAGGAGTTTCTGCGCCTTGGAGCGGAAGGGCTCGTTGACAAAGACTGCGAGCCGCAATAAGTAATACAGCTGAGTGGGAGGGAAAGCCGCCGACAGTAGGTCACGCATGACTTGGAACGACGCTCCTGTATTCGATCCCAGCTGATAGAGAATCGAGTAATGGGCTTGGACGTCATCCTGGATGTCAGGTCGTAGTTGCCGTTGGAGATCCGGATGTAGTCGTCGTCGAAAGCGCTTGTGCAAGCCGAGGGAAGTGGGAGACGACAGCGAGTGGCGTCGAAAATCCACAAGATGTTCCCGGAAGCCCACCTTGCGCAAGATTCTGTGTACCCAGGGCGCATTCAAATGCGGGCGTAGCAGGTATTGCCATTTGCTTTCTTGAACCCACACCGAGGAAACTGGAAGTTTGATTTCCACTGGTATAGCACAGAAGAGCCAGTAAGTATTGGATCTTTTCCAGTAGTGAAGCGCTGGTTCAAAGAAGGCATGCCGTCCACGAAGTAGTTGTAGAAATTTGCGACTGCGTGAGTGTTCACGACGTAGAACATCCTGATCAGTCGCCCCAACATAGTATGGTGTGTGCCATGGGGAAAGTCGAATGTAGACGCACGGTTGTTGGTGATGACCTGGATCATGTATGAAGTCATAGAGGTCAGGAAGTCGCGCCCGCAATGAGCGTAGATGCCGCGTGTCAGCGAAAGTAGAGTGCATGATTTCACACAAGAGAGAAGTCTTGTAGAAGTGCAGGACTTCAAAAGAACGGTGGGAAGTAGCCGTGATCTTGTGAAATGAGACGTTGTAAGAAACTAATCAATAAATAGGCAGTGCACCGACATCTGTGAAGCTCGTACCTGTTGGCCACGGTGTGCTGGGAGTTTGACATAGCGTGATTCGGAATCTGAAGGGCTATCCGGACCACAACTAAGACCTCGAGGATGAGACCTAGCCACGGCAATTGTGTGATGGATTCGTACTCCTCAGTTGGAATCGACGGTGGTGGTAGGCCAGGAAAACAGTACTGCCAGCACGTAGAGAATATGGTCAACGAGTGCAGAAGGTCGTCCAGCGACTGCCATTGTGCAACATCATCATAGATTCCGCAGCGGCGAAGTTCATCCAACATGGTGAGATGCAACCAACGAAATCTACCACAAGGCGGCGACATGAATACAAGCATCACAGACAATCACACAAGAGACAATGCAAGAACGAGCAAGTACAAGATCAATCAGGTGCAACGCAGACACTTGACGGACGAGTTTTCACCTGGACTCATCCGTGACATTGTTGCCGCTCCGGGCTCATATGAGAACGAAGGTCATCATGATGCCTTCTCATCCACACAGTAGACGAGCCGTCACGATGAGGTGACTCAATGCCTTCTCAGTGAGTTTGGTAAGATAGCCGGGTTCTAGTCCCCACGAAGCTGCCATTGCCCCGAGCGTGGGTGCGTCGCCTTTCGGCATGCGTTGCCGCGCCTGAAGGAGCTGCGTCGCCATAGAATCTAATGACTTGTTGCCGTTGAGCCGGGTCGGGTGATTGGCCCACTTAACCAGCGATGCCAAAGTGGTTGTTGTGGGTGATTGCTTGAGAAAAAGGCGAGGTTGGTCACTGGTCCATGTGTAGTACTTGACAACTTCATCCGGCGTGCTGTTCATGGTGAGCAATTGTGACGCCGCCGGTTTGGACGGCGGTGACGACACTCCGTGAAGAGACTGGATGATCCGAGGTTGCACCACGCTATCAAACGACTTGCCATCCAGGGCGGCTGCGCTGGCTGTGGGAAGGGAGCTGGCAGGTGACGAGGATGGTGTGTGGTTGACCGGTGGCGGTGTAACCAACTCTGCATCATCCTTCTGGTTTGTCATCGTGGGAGAGGTCGATGCGCGAAGTGATGCGGAATACTGAGCTTGGAGAAGTTCGTGCGCACGATTCAGATCATTGAACTTTTTGACCATGTCATCGGTCTGGGCGGCAGGTGCGAGAGAGGTGTGATGCTGTTGAAGAAATTGAAGTACCAAGTTGGCCAAATGGTCGTGGACCTTGATGCGCTGATTGAAGTCATCGATGTTGAGACCCAGCGTGTTGGCAAGGTCCTTTTCCAGGGTGAGCAGGTTGAGTGACTGTGATCTTCGTAGTAATTTGGAACAGGTACTCCAAAGTAAGGCCTCGGTGCGGGTGCGAAAGCCTTCCCACGTCACGAATCGGCCGTGTGCAAACGGCCTGAGTAGCCAGTTGGTGAGGCCCCCGTGGATAACCTGAACCAGGCGACGTCCCTAATATCCATGCCTGACATGTCGCGAAGGTTGCCATGCGGAGTGTTGGCAACAGTCATGGGCAGGCTGAAGTTGTAGAGCTGATTGACATCAAACATGCCGTCTCCAGGTGTCCAGTCAGGCGAGGGAGTAAGCCAGGCTTTCTGAGGACGAACCGGTAGAGCCGCATGAGGTGACGGTGTGTGGGAAGTAGTAACCGGTGGTGGCATCACTGGTGGCATGAACTTGGATGGCGTGGGATCTGGAGGGATCGGCATCATGTAGTTGATCGCTGGGTATTGGAATTGTTGTGTGGGATTGTGAGTCGATTGAAAGTTGGTAGGCATCATCGGAAAGTTGTTGGCAGCGTTGTAGCCGGAGTTGTGTTGCCATGAAACCAAGTTGTTCCAATCCATGTTCTCCGAGACCTGGTTGTCATTGTGCTCACGTCGGCGTGCTTTGTGAGCTTGAGGGGACGGACTCCGATCACGTCTGCGCCGAGTCCTGGATCTATCACGATCATCACGTCGAGACATGGTGACTCAACTGACTCTGAATCTGCACACTTCCACCTTGAGAGAATCGGACCCGACAACATGCAAATCAATGCAAATGCAAGTTAACGGCCCCAGCTGCAATGGTCGATCGACATGTTCAAGGCAAAGCAAATACAAATCAGCAATCGTCAACCGCAATAATACGAGCAACAAGTTCAACCAATGGTCAGCAAATGCAATGAAAGTCGGCAGCCAGCCGCTGTGGTGAGACGTCACTATGGTCTGGTGGCAGTCTTCCCTTTAGTGAAACCTCGTTCCTGGTTAAATGTGAAATTCCGCTGTTCTATGATAAGCACGCTGAGGTCAAATTTTCCGACAGAGCCGGCCCGGGGTCACACAATGGGTACACCCGAGGATTCCCCACGAATGGGGTGTACACACTTAAACTCCAGATGGAGAGTGCTAATCTTTCGAGTACAACTGGTGAGTCTCGAGTACAACTGGTGAGTCTCGAGTGGGTGTAGGTTCGGCTTGCATTCACTTGGTTTCCGCCTAGCAGCGAACACGTTACCCGAAAGAACAAGAAGCACAAACAGCGCCGCAACCAAGGGGGCCAAATAGACACTTGCAAAACTGGTGCAGGTACACATCAAGGTGTCCCTTGATGCATCCAGTCATCCTCGATAGCTTCGTTGGCGTGGCTACGAGGAGACCGCCACGCCCCCTGCTGCAACAGAAAAAGGTTTTGGTGGCAGGGTTTTCTGCCACTCCGCACACACACACACAAACACACAAACACACAAACACACAAACACACAAACACACAAACACACAAACACACAAACACACAAACACACAAACACACAAACACACAAACACACAAACACACAAACACACAAACACACAAACACACAAACACACAAACACACAAACACACACAAACACACAAACACACAAACACACAAACACACAAACACACAAACACACAAACACACAAACACACAAACACACAAACACACAAACACACAAACACACAAACACACACAACACACAAACACACAAACACACAAACACACAAACACACAAACACACAAACACACAAACACACAAACACACAAACACACAAACACACAAACACACAAACACACAAACACACAACACACAAACACACAAACACACAAACACACAAACACACAAACACACACACACACACACACACACACACACACACACACACACACACACACACACACACACACACACACACACACACACACACACACACACACACACACACACACACACACACACACACACACACACACACACACACACACACACACACACACACACACACACACACACACACACACACACACACACACACACACACACACACACACACACAGACGAAGAGAGACACATGTAACTGCAGCCAAGTCTCTTCACCCAGTGACGGGCACCTGTTTTTTACACTTAGTTGTTCAGTGACCCTGGAAAAAAAGGGAACCCTTTTTGGGGAAGACAAATTTTAGTGGGGCAGCCACCAACAAAAAGGGAAAACAGGTTGCCACTGAACAACTGAGGAAAACACCTGGCTTCTGCCCCATGGGCTGGTGAAGAAGCGCACGGATGCCGAGGAGTCGCAAATCTAGGCCGGAATTAGGACCCCAGCAAAGCATTATCTTGCTTGCCTGGTGAGTGGAAAACAAAGGGACCCCCCCAAAAAGCAAAAAAAAAAGAACAGGAAGCTAACTCTGGGGAAACATTCAGGGTCCCAAGATGCTGCACAAAAGCAGGGGTTGGCTTTCTGCCTGCCACATGCACACGTAGACCAACAGCTGAACGAGTCCAACCCAAAATTGTTAAAAACATCTGAGCTAGGGGTAGCCCGGGCTGAGCAGGTTGCCGAAAGGTCACTCAGCATTCGACGCCTCAGGCCACCGATCTCCTGAAGCAAACGTGTTGCCTTTCCACTAGCCATGATACCGGCTATCAGACATAGGAATTCTACAACCCTCATTTCTGATTCGCGCCCTATTCCAACTTGCAAAATGATAGTGTTTGGTCTTCAGCCAACCTTAAGACGCATGTCATGACAGCAGTGGCCCCTGTTTTCCCGTCTGCTCCTACCCTCCCTCGCCGAGGGATCGCGCCTGTCTCGCCCTGCGCGCCGAGCGGCCCTTGTTTCGCCAGTTGTAGTCCCAGCTGTCCCAGCCTAGCACCAAGTCGGCGGACAGGCGGGGACCAACACTGTCATGGATCAAACTCAGAGGGGTGACCGTCGCAATTTCATTTTCACCGTGGAAAACCAACTAAGTGGCCACCCTTCATCATCTGACCTCACCTTTCCGAAAGTCACGCCCAAGTGGCCTTTGACGAAGCCCGGGGAAATTCAAAAAAATGGTGCCAAGCAGGTCATCCAAGCTGCAAAGAAGGACTCAGCCTGCAAGAAACTGCCGATCAAAGCATGGAACCCCCGAGCGTCGAACAGGGTCAACTAGGGCACCAAAACTTGCCCCTGGAGGTGTTGCCATAAGCCTAGGAAAAACTACGATATATTTCCAGTAGCGCTAGATTCCCTTTTGAACCAAAGGGGAAAATACAACATCTTCATCCCGGCAAAAGGAAGCAACTCTACGCAGCATGTGGATCCCAGATTCGCCATGGTCACCGAATTCCCTCGCCTTCGGCAGAAACCACGGCTCAGGCCCTGCCTTCATCCTTGCGATCATCCCAGTTCGAGCCTCGGGACGACTCGGCAGTGAAAGGAACCAAAGGCAACTTCTGGCCACCTGGAATATCCCCCCCTTGACGGGAGGGGAAGACTGAACCTGTAAAATTACCTTTTTGGCCCCCCCAATATCGCCCCCTTAAAGGGGGGGACTGAAAATGTAAAATTACCTTTTTGACCCCCCTCCCCAAATCAAGGATGAAGGGGGTGGTGATGCCTTCCAGAAACGGGCAAAGTACAATGTGACTTACCGAAACTTGGCGTAAAAACCCAGTGGCCTACTGGCTTAGATTTGGATGGATGGCATGGGCCGTTCTCTTCTCAGACTTCCACCCATGTGCGCAATAGACAATATTGCCAGAGCATTGGCTCTGGGAAGATTGTCTCGGTCCTCCAGTAGACAGGTTAGAATAAGGGTACCCTCTTTTTTCTGTAGTCTATGTTAGTAGGGGAACCCTCCCCCAAAAAGGGGTAAAAGGGCACTACTCGGGAATCTAGTTTTCGGGGATCGAGTAACTACCGGCTGCGTTGAAGTGACATTGTCATAACCAGCGTTCTAAATGGAAGCTTGAAGGGAAAGCACAGGGACCCAAAAGTAATTCTCAGAACCCGTCAATTTCCTTTTGCTTCAGCCGCCTGGCAAAAAGACCCAAAAACATCCAGTAACAGATAGCGAAATCGATGCCCTTTCAAACCAACCAGGGAAAATAACAACACATGTCCAACACATCTCCTTTCAAGTGGAGGTGTCTTTTTTTTGGACAGAAAACACACGCAGTCTTCCCTTTGGTTTCCCTTGGACACCGACCAAAAAACCGGGGGGCAGCCGCAACTCGAACAACGGGGAAGGCCTTCATCGCGCCAGGTCTTCCGGTTGCCCTGCCTGGCGGGAAGAAGAAAGGCCCCTGGGATCTGTCAGACGAAGGGGCCTGTCTTTCTTTGAGTTGGTACATGTTGGTACCCTTTTTGGTTGGTTTGAAAGGGAAACCACAAGGAAAACCGAAGCAACACTCTTGGGGGGTCCACCAGAAAACTAAAAAAACAACAACATGGAGTTGACATTAGGGAATGACAACGAGTCCGGTTGGTTGAATGAACCGGTTTCGGGGATTACCGAAAAAAGGAAACCACCGGTGGAGTGTCTCTTTTTGGACCTCAAATGGAGTGGCAAGACCTGCTTGGCTTCTGGAGAAATCAACAATTGTTGGCTATAAAATCAATGTTGACCCCAGATGAATCAACCAACCAGTTGATTCATAGGGGGTGCTTTTCTCTTGGTTTACTGGGGAATCAGACCACTTTTGGAGGGCCCCCCACCCCCCTATTAATGAACAGGAGTTGACTAATGTGGGGAACATTAGACCCGTACTGGACTGAGAAGACCAAAGTGTTGGGCCTTCAAATGATGAAACGCATTGGGCCACTCAAAATGAGAAACACATCCAAGATGATGGCACCTTCTGGGCCTTTGTGCAGATTGCCGACGACCGGCAATCTCTACCAACCACCAGTATCCACCAGTTCAAATGCTGAGGATATGCGGGCCTTAAACTAAAATGGGCCAAAGGGCCAAGAATCAGGTGCTTTGCTCAAAACTATCAAAATGCCACCATCAACATGTGCACTTCTTGGGATTCCAAAGCCCACGCTGCAAACACTTTGGATACCCAGATCTGAGATCTCAGCCCCGTGTCGGAACGGCTTGAGCCAAGCACCGCTGAGAATTAGAAGAACTGTGCCGGATCTAGGGTTCACTCAAAAAAAACAGGTTGACGTTAAACCGAACCCCAAAACTGCCAGCAACTGTTTAGATCCAGGGCTCTTGTGGGCAACTTCTTCGGCGACGATTTTTTCTTTGGCTGCCAGATGTACAAACATCGATGCCTCGGGGTCTTTGCAAAATCTAGGTTCCCCAGATCGGAGCTTTTTTGACCTCTCGGTGAAGGGCCTCTAGGCACCTCCGAAAGTGACGAAACATGTGAAACGAGAAAAAAGGAGAACTGGGATCGGATCTGGCCGCCGGGAAGCAACCTTTCTATAATGGACCCCTAAAAGTCTCACAAAACCACTGCACGTGACGGTGTTTTCTGCAAGGCATCTGCAAACCAAGTGGACACTCAACATCTGCGAACCAAGGGTCGAGCGGAAAAAACACTTTCGATTGTCACATTGACCTCACTCTGACTGGTGGTGTCTCGGGCCTCGGGTTGCTTGCCAATTACTCATTGACACAACATCCCGACAAGGCATCGCCGCCAGCAGACTCCGCTTCACCAAACCTTGATCTCAGCTGCCCGGAACAGGGCACACGTTCTGAGGTTGGTGATTTCTAGTAGAGATTTTACTGGGACAAGGAGCAAAAGACGCCGCTATACGCCGCTGAAGACCTGAGTTGAGCCAATCTTTGGCTGGTTCTTGAAGAGGAACAAAGGCACACCAAGCACCGGACCAGCCGGCAATGTACATACTCAAGCAAGCTCGTTTGCACATCCCCCAATACATCCACACCAAAGCCATGAGATCAGCGCCCGGAAATGGGACTCATTTCAGCATTCCTTGGAAATCAGTCAATTTCGGGTGCGTGTAGCACCTGCCGAAGAACACACATGACTCCGGGAAAACACGACCCTGGAGTCAAAACACGTACTTGTGCGGGGAAAAATGCACAATTGAACAAATTCTCAACGCGATAATTCTCTCACCATCTCCGCATGGTCACGCACCAACGCCGTGCTTGCAAGCACCAAAGGGCGATGCCAGAAAACATTCACCACCTCAAGAACAGCTACAGCGCAGTGGACTAATTGCAACAATATGTTTAATGAATTTGCCATTGTTCAATTTTGGGTGTTTGCGGGAGAGCTGGTTTTGGAGGAACGTGCCGTTCAAAGCTGTAAAGTCGGTATAACGCCACCGTCTTCGTCCTCGTGAGAATTGCTGTTTCATGACAGGCTCAGAGCCGACCATAATGAATGGCTCATCCTAAGGATGAGCCAGGCATACTCCTTGCCCAAACGTTGGGATGCCCATTTGTTGGTCGGTGCCTGAATGTCCACCAACCATGTTGAAGGATTCCAGAGTTGTAGAAAGGCGACTTTGCGATTGCACCTGGGCATATCTCCAAAATGGTGGGGTTCCCTTTGCTTTTACCTTTCACACCGCCTCAAAAAGACATCTTCCATTTGCTTAAGACCCCTGGACAAAATATTTCCAGTAGTGATAGATTCCCTTTAAAACCAACAGGGGAAAAATAATTTCAGCAAATGGAAGACATCCGCGAAACAACACCCAATTCCCAACTCCACGACAGCTCTCCGTGCCTCCCGCGGCTGTCCTGCCAGCGACTGGAAGTCTCCTGAAGGCCCGAGGTGAAGCGGAAACAAGATGGCGGTGTCGTTTGTGGAGGGCTGCCCTCAGATCCCCTGCTGAAAGTGACTAACTTTTAGTGGGTTAAATGGAAACTACCACTAAACACTAAAAGGCTAAAAAACCAAGGGGGCTGGAAGCCACCAAGTGTTGAGGGCCCCTTTTTCTTGTGGCTTGTCATGTGGAAACCGGAAGGACACCACCCAAATTGGGGCTTGCCCTCTTTGGAGACAAACCCAGGTGCAGGAAAGAAACGGATTTGACAGGCGGCGTTCCCGAGCACAAGAGGAAACTGCTTTTGGGAACCTCAGCTGGTTGAAACTCTGCATGTTTGCTAAGGCGGAGTGATCTGGGTGTCAAAAAGCAAAGCACCCCAACATGGTTGGTGTTCTTGTCGCTTCCCTTCTCTTTCAACATGTTTCAACAAGGGGTCGCATTCTTGAATACTTCCCCATTCCACAACACCACACTAAGAACGGGGGGGAATCCTGCACGATATATTCACGAAGAAAAGGGCATGCAACATATCGTGTATATGCGCAATCAGCCTCCAAATTGATGGTTTGGATTCGTGGTTAGGGATTGGATCCCCTTGTTCTTGTAGAAGGTTCCTGGGAGAAAAAAAAAAACTGAACGAATCCAAACCACCCCGCTGACCACTGCGGAGGGAAGCTGACAGTATACATCCCCAAATTTGAGTCATGATCAAAACCTGGTACAAAGATGGTGAACCCAGAACCATGCTTCAGGAAATGAACTGGCGGACATTTCCGCAGCCATTTCTGGCAAGGGGACTGCCCCTTACTCACCGGATCATCTACCCGGAGTTCGGTTTTGATTGCACGTAGCTCAAATTTGCCCCGAGCAAATGGAAGCCACGGATCCGAGCCGCTAAGCCGGGCACCCCCCGCTGTCATGGATCCACACCCCTCCGAAACACAAGGGATGGGGGAGAAACGGCGCAAGGGAGCCGTCAGGAAGCAAAACAAGAAGCCAAACCAAATCAACAAATAACCTACAAACAAACGAGCAAACCAAGAAGTTGAGCAGGCTAGCCTCTTTTACAAGCTTGGGACTTGCAGAACTCAATATTGAGGATGTGCTGACAGGCAACAGGAAAGCTGCGCCGTGAGCAGCCCGGTGTTCCTTGCAGTGATATCAACTGCGGAAGAATGTGCAGCTGCATAAGGTGAGGTCACTATGTAGTGTTGCGCCCGAAGAGCAGTGAAACCAACTAGCCGTGCACCTAAAGCAAGCATTTGGCGACATTACCACATGCCCTCGATGCGCGCCATCCTAGCATGCAAGCTACACACAAAAACCGCTGCCCTACAAGCTGCAATGGGACAACCCCATCGGACACACTTCCCCCCTCCCTCTCTCTCGACTCCTGTGTGGCCTCCTTTCCCCAGTCTTTCTCTGTCTCCTGGGGAATGATTTGCTGGGCAAGGGACGAAGGGAACAAAATCGGTCTTGTGGCAACCAATCTGGTTTACTAGGCAGCCCTGCGACCCGGGGGAGATAGATAGTCTACCTCATCACTCATTTTATGAACTCCGTTGGTCCCGCAGAAAATGAGATTCCAAAGCTCCTCCCCCATGGCACTGCTAACCCCTGATGAATACCCCTGATGAATACCTTCTGGAGATTCTCCTGGACGAAATGCCCACGGGACCTGCTATGTTTCGCCTTTGAACTCTGTGCTACAAGGCATCATCCAATGTCCATTGCTGGCTGAGCAAATCTGAAATGGCGGCCCATAGCTTCTCTGCCGATAGGAGCTCTTGTGTGTTCACAGCGCGAACTAAACGTTGATGGACTCTTGGTTGCTGTTGACCCCGCCTGCTTCCCCGGCAAAAAAGTTTAACTTTTTCGGGGTTTAGTGGAAAACACCTTGCTTTCCCAAAAGATTCAATAGCAGTCAAGGATTCATTCATTCCTGGGTCGGGTGTCATTTTCCGCCTTCCCGGTCCTCCCAGACCTTCTTGGCTCTGGGCGCCGCCTCTTTCTTCTCGGGCGTGGCCTGGCGACGACGCTTGAGACAAGGGGAACACACCAACTAGGTCCTCCAGTAGAGAGGTTAGAATACAAGGTACCGTAGTCTATTTTAGTAAGGGAACCCTCCCGCAAAAGGGCACTACTGGGGGACCTAGCCAACTGGCCTAGGGAGATGCTTGGACACCCCGATTTGCTCACTGCGGTTTGGATTCTTGGCTGCCCGTTTTCTGATCCCCCGCTAAAAGTGACTACATATAGGGGGTTAAATGGAAACCACCACTAAACACTAAAGGCTCCAAAGCCAAGGGGCTGGCTGGGAGCCAGTTTAAAACGGGACAAACTCAAGAGACACAGCCATTCCTCGTTCGTTGCCTCATCCTTGAAAGACAGCCAAACGAGAATCCGAATCCAAACGATTCAAGCAGACCACGCTGCGTTTGGATGCGTGCAGTGGCGCTCTCTTCACAAGCACCTTGAAACTGAAAGCTATTTCAGAGGGCACGACACACATGCGTCCGTGTGTGCATGCTAGATTGCTGTGCGTGCTTCCCTCTTAATGGTTTATTAATCATAGCCGCTTCTGGACGTTGTTTTGCTTCAGGTCCGCACTGTGAACTCCCCAGTTCTTATCCGGTCCGTTGACTATTGCTTTCTACACTACTGTTCATCCTGATGGATTTGTGCACTGTTTCTGCCGGTGAATCCTTGTTTGTTGCGGTGTCATGCTGGCTTACCGCTGCTTACTCGATAGTTTTCTTTGTACACGTTGGCGTGCTATTGCGACTCACAAACGGTTCACTTGCTTGCCTGTTGTTTCAAGCAAGACAACTAGGTGACACCTTTATCTCAACCCATGGTTGATCATGCACAAACCCAACATTGAAATCAGGATTCCCTGTGAAATAAAGGGGATCCCTATGCATCTCCCAAGGTAAGGATCTTGCGGAGTGCCCCAAAGGAACAGCCCAGAAAAAATGGTCTTGTTTCACTGGGTTTGGGCTGCGACCCCAAAGCGATGAACTTTCTGCTAGCTGTATAAAGGAGAAACCACATTTTCTCAACGTTGAACGAGTTGCTAGTCAGTCAGAGAAAAAACAAACATGTCCAAACAAATAACAAGGCCAAAGCTCGAACAACCCAGTTGCTATACCAGGTCCTCCAGTAGAGCGGTTAGAATAAGGGTACCAACTTCTTTTTTATCTGTAGTCTGTTTTAGTACGAATCCTCCCCCAAAAAAGGTTGGTAGAGAAGGGCACTACTGGACCTAGTATATGCATGATTTGTGTGGTAAGACCAGTTTGGGTTACACCATCTACATGACAATTCGTGTCCACCGACCGTTTGGGGCCCACTAACCGTGGAATGGAGTGGAATCAACTCACAGTCCCCCGGCCTCTGCGTTCCATTCCTGCTGAGCCTCCGGAGGAGTCCTTCACAACAAAAAAAATCGCTCGGGCTTGGAGTGCTGCGGGTGTTGGCTGTATGGCTTCTGTCATGGAGACCCGGACTAACAAACCCCTGGTTAGTTGAAGAGGGGGTATCCCATTTTAGAAGGGAGTGACATTTGTCTGGGGGAACATGTTCTAATGCTGACTAACAAACCCCTTCCTGAGCCCTCCGGGGGACCTAGGCATGGAATGGGCTGTGACCTCGATTGGGTTGCAACCGTGTCGGCTCGATTAGATCGGTAGGGACCCAAGAACACAAGGAACATGACATCCTTGACTATCGCAAGTAAGCAGGTGGAGTCACTGCAGTGGTCGGACCTCCGAACTGACCCAGCTTGCTGAAACGGTAAAAAGGAAAATCCCAGTCAGGGAAACGGTGAAGAGTCGCTCGCTCATTGCTGTGAGCCTCTAACGTCTGAAAAGCTGACGCATACCGGACTAGCATCAGTACCGACGCGTCAATGGTTTGATTGCAGGCAGGAAACCAAGAGAAGCGGACTTTCCGCTTGAACAGATCAAATGACCCTCCAGCACAGAGGTTAGAATAAGGGTAACCTTTCTTCCAGAGTGATACGGAGGGAAGCTATTCCAACTTTCCACCCAGAACGACAGCCAGGTTTCACAACTACTCGTAGAATAGCCAAATTCTATGTTGCCAATTTTGCTTTAATCCCACCATTAGTCGTATCAGGGGGTATTCCAGCACAGGTTCTGAAATTCTACATTCTCATGCTTTGTTTTACTAATTGCACATTATTTCATGAATTGTAAACTGAGTTTGAACTTTTGAACCGCACAAACAACAAAACCTTGAAGGGCTCCATTTAATCTCGTTTCTCGGAAATGGAGCCCATTTCGAAGAGGACCGAAGAGGAAATCCGGTCGGTCCCTAATTCCTCTATTAGTAAACATGGTTTGCCAAGATTCCTAAATGGGGGTATTTATTAGGGAGGAAGCGATTCAGGGAAAGTCTGCAGAATCCCAAGATGCTGAAAGATCATCTGGCTGATGTGGGTGTTCTCAAAAAATTGGGCTAAATCCTCCAGCTGGGTGGTTTCCTCTTGCTTTCCCTGCAAATCCATCGAGCAAGGGAACCCGTATCTAAAATTTGATCTACCCAGAACAGTGTAAAGAATTGACCAGGCGGCTGCAGCTATTTATGGCAAGGGGCTTCTCCCTTACTATCCTCCAATTCCCCGAATCGGTTTTGAGCATGGGTCAAAATTAAGCCACCAGGAATTGGACCGCAGGTGTTCGTTTCCATGTGTCCATTTACCAGGGAAAAACATGTTTGACAACCACAGCCATTTGGCCATGGGTCAAAATCGCGTACCCCCAGTGCACATCCCAATCCCCGCTAAAATCGGTTCTAAAATTTGTAGTGAATTCACCCACCCCAAAATGCTCGATCCCCACACCGGTTTTCGCGCACCGCCAAGTGGTTCCGCGCTGAGGCGGAGGCTCGGGCATGGCCCAGGTCATGCCTTCCAACATGGAAGGGTCCGCCTGGCCAAAGGCCGAGATTCCCAAGGCCGACGTCTCTTCCAGGTCCTTGCTCTTTCTTTGGGGAGGGGGAGGTTTTCATTCCCAAGGCCTGGATTTTTTCCTAGGTCCTCCAGTAGAGAGGATAGAATAAGTTGGTACCCGATTTCTTTTCTGTAGTTTTAGTAGGGGCACCACTGTGGGACCTAGCTTATAGGATTCGGCTGAAAGCCACATCTTGTCGTCTGGGGTCGCGCTGCCGCATTTTCTGCGAGCGCTGATAGACGAGTGCAACGATTGGTGAGGAAAGTGAAAGATGCCAGCAGGCGAGATAATGATTTCTTCTTTATGATTGGTGACCGTTTGGGCTGGGCTTCTTCTATATGATTTGTTGTCTTGTTTCAGGGGCACCTCCCGAAAAAACTACTTTTGCCTGCGGTTTTGGCTGGTTCTGGGGGCCGGTTTTCCATGGGCAGAAAGTTGCGCCAAGGTCCACCCTTTCGGAGGTACTCTGTGCAAGTTCTCTTCGGTTGCCAAAAAAAGAATCAGATACAAGAACTGGAAATCCGTGCAACGTACGAGGAAAATCGACAAAGACATTTGGAAGAAACGCAACAAACACGTGACAAACATGTGGCCCGGTATGGAAAAAAGACCAAGAGCTACTCAGTGCAAAATTCATTTCTTCTAAATGATGCAGGCCTATCTACCCCCCCCCCCCTCTACGTCTTTTATATGATAAATTGGTTGGACATCTTCTATCTTTGTGTCGCAAAATGTAGATGTTTTCCAGGTTATTGCTTCTGTTTTGTTTTTGTTTTTTGGGGGGGGGAGGGGGGGGTAGTTGTCCGAGTGCTTTTCTGGACCAGATTTCTGGGTTGGTTTTCTGGTTCTTTGGGTTTTTGTTTTAGCTTTCTGATGAACTTTTCTGGTGGTTGGCTCAAGAGGTGTCCTGTCGGTTCAGCTTCCCTTTTCACCTTCAGGGAGACCATAAAGTGGGTTTTAGCACACCCCTGCTGCAAAAAGGCCATCCTTTTAACAGAAAGTCTTCAGGCTGAAAAGAAAAAGCTGTGGTACTTGCCCCCTTCTTTCCAGGGTCTTTCTTGATCAAGCAAAGGTCCAGCAACGACGTGTGTTGGCAATTTCGCGAACAAGCCGTTGGTGAAGAGAGTGGGCAAACCACCTTCGGACGGAATTGAATTTGTTTGACCGCCAAGAGAAAACAAGGGGAGCCCCAAACAACAAAGGAACAGCGAACCCACGCTGACAGCGCGGTCCCTCGATTTGCCCTAGCTTGGGTGCCAAGATGTAAACTGCAGAATTATTGGCCCTGTTAACCAACGGACAATGGCTCAGGAGTCAGGACACCCCTTAAGAAACGTGTGCGTCTTTCCTTCAATTAAAATACACAGAATCATACACCCTTCACAATATGGGTCTTCTTAAAAACACAAAAACACCTTTAACATACAAAGGAGCAAATGAGTGGTTGGGCATAGGGAATCAAACTTCTCGGAGACCCACAAGGAGGCCAGGGTGCAAGGGGCCTTTTTGCGCTCCACGCAACCAAGGATGGGTTAAAAGCAAGAAGGGTGGCTGGGAGCAGCAATCCGAGTGTGTGCCAAGCTCCCCGGTTTGTTCAAAAGGCCTGGGAATGCGTCACACAGCCATGGCTGTGTGAACCTGTAAGTAGCAACTGAACATGTCTTTGTTGAGTCATTGAGGGTCCCCATTTTGGAGGTTGTTCGTCTAGGAGTACCAACAAGGACATGTTGAGATTCCATATCTCATTTGCAGACAACTTCCAAACTGACAAGATGTGGATGAATCACTCAAAAATAAAGATCCGTCCTTACAAATGACACATATAAGAACAACAACACATCCTGGGACGCCCTCCTTTTCATCAACCCGGATTGATGCCCCGGTTCCAGTGACCAGCAAGCCTCCATGCAGCACATGGCCATGTCGCCGTCCCACATGCCTTCTTCGGGCCTGGGCCAAAAGAAATGGTGCGCCAACCACGCGACCGGTTTGGACGGTTCACCCTACTGACACGGCTTCCCGAAGGGCCCAGGGAATGCAGCTCAAGCTTGGGCTTTGCTTGTTGAGAGTCTTGGAATCTGGTCTTTTCGGCCAAGGCAACCAATTCCAGGGAAGTCCCAGCCAAAATCGGCTTGCAGTCTGCCAGGTGTCATGCCTCTGAAGCTCCAGATCTTGCCATTTTGCCAGACTCTTGGTTGGGTATCTCTCTCTCCAAATGTGTTCGCCTCGACACGGCACCTAGCTTTCAGGTCGTATGCGAGAAGTCATCCCATTGAAGAAGGACAATGGATGCTAATCAATGCACCAGCGCGTGCAGGGTGTTTGGTGCCAGTCGTTGATCAGACGTAACATGATGAAACAACAACTGACCAGCAGATTTAACTGGCCGGAAAAGCTTCGACGTTTTGGGCCTCAACTAAACCCGGCTCGAACAGGCAATAATCAACAAACCACAGTGGCCCGCTGACCAAATTTGGTCGGCACTGACAACTTACCAATGAGAATCCTTGGTGCTACGAGTGAACCATCCCATTGGATACCACCAAATTGGGACCCCTCCAAATGGTGGCTGACTTATTCCTTTGAACGAGGACTCCAAGCCCTCACAGCTAAGCTGTTAGACAGCGGCGTTAAGCAATATCCGGGCAAAGTCACGTGAGTGGTTGCATTCTGACCTGAAACATATTGTTAAAAAGGTGCCCAACTGGCCGACACAAATGGGTTTGTTTCAAAATAGGAGAACGCCTCAAACAATTGAGTGGTATCCTCTTGGTGTCCTTTTCAATCACACCTAAACGGGCTCCCTCAACAACAACGACACTAAGACTGAGCAGCAGTGCACAAACCAAGGAACTGTCTACACCTCCTCCAGCCCCCTGCTTCACCTTCACTTGGGCCCGTGCGCCGTACCGTCATTCTCCATCATGACTGGCAATTGGGGTAGCTTCGGAAGAAAAAACAAACTACGATGCACGTTCCGGAATGTAACTCTGACTCTCAAACCAGGAGGTCATCTTGTAAAAGGAGAGCCCACGCCCAAGTGGGAGCGTTTATCCATTTCAGGGGACTCTTTGCTGGATATCATGTACAGTGTAGTGTCGGAGAGCGAATTTTCGAAAAGGCGGCAAAATTCGACCAAGTCTTCCCGAAACTCTTCCCCACCCGGAAAAGCAAAAGGCCAAGTCTGCACGAGACCCTTTCCTCAAACAGCCGCCCAGGCATATTTTCAAGGGGGTGGTCCAGGGAAGCCCCAAAAAGTTCATCATAACAAATGTCTAAGGGGCGGACATAGACAAATAAACAAACCTCTGGCCCGAGGATTTAAGCAAATACTTTCATGATACTAAACCAATTCTAGCACTACTGAAAACGTACAAAGGACCATTGAGCCAATACTCGTACCAAACCAATTCTAAATAGTACTGGGCCAGCTCGGAATACTCAAACAATTCTAAACCAGTCCTAGGCAGAGAGGGACCGAAGAGGACTGAAAAGGACCGAAGAGGACGTGAAGACTCGCGGAGAGAGGCCCAACTATTGACCCCAATTTTTGTTTGAGGGGGCGGGTTCGCCATTGACACCCACCCAGATGGGGGAAAACGGGAAAACCAAGGAGTAACCAAGGGCCACTCAGGCTGGGCAAGCAGGGCAGTGCCACCCTGGCCGTCCATGCCCACCATCTCGCACCTGGGCTCAAGAGAGACCCCGGTGTGCGCTGCACTGGGCAGCCTGGCGGAGGCACGTTTTTTGCATCTTGCCCCTTGCGTCTTCGGGTGCCTCTGGCAGTTGATTCATGTTGACCCCCGGATAAATCCCTGTTTATCAACATGGGGGTGTTTTTTCCTTGGTTTTAGTCGGGATTTATCACTTTTGGAGGGAACCACACCCATATTAACAAACAGGGGTTTATTCATCCGGGATCAGCATTACCCCGCAAATATAAGTATTCGGCCCGCTGCTGCATCCTCATTCGGAGACCGACCCAGCGGGTCGCAGGGGTAGATGACCGATGAGTTGTGTTGCTTGAAGGGCGACAGAAGATACGAGATGAGCTCGTCGAAAGCGCTTTGGATGCGGATGCTCGAAAACAAAACATCCACTTGTTGTTCCCTCTGCTGCTGCTACTTCTCTTTTAACCTCTGGTGCCATAGGTGTCCTTTTTGGCTGTTTTGCTAACAAAATAGATGGCCCTGGTTTACCTGGGTGGTTTAATCAACGGAGACGGATCGATCCAAGCCGTGTCTGGCGAATCCCGAGCTTCTGGCCCCATGTCCTCGACGCCCATTCCCTGAACGGCCGAGTGACCAGCGGCGGATATTTGTCCTCAACTTCCGCCCCCCCCAAACCAACAAACAAACACAGGGCTGCTCTAAATGGGTGAACTGTGCAGCTCAGATGCTCAGCAACTACGGGGAAAGAAAGGGCATCCTTTTTTTGGTCGGTTGACTTTAAAGGGGAACCCTTCCAAAAAAAGGCAAAAAGGGCGCCAACGGGCAACTGGGACAGTTCTCCTCCAACCTGAAATGAAAGGAACCTTCCTCACGGGCGGCAGAGCAAGCAGTCCCTGTGAGGTCGCTATAGCTTGCCCGAAACAAAAGCTCGAATGCCCGAAGCTTTGAATAACAAGGGCCAAGCGGCCAAAGGGCCTGCAAACAACACTGGCACGAAGCAAAGACGCCAACGAGACATGGGGCGGCAGCATGCTGTAAAGTGCGCTTGAGGGCTACCCCAAAACAATGCCAAAACACAAACCCACACACACACACAACGAACAAACAACAGGCGTGCCCAAAAGCAGATGGGTCGTCATCTGATGACATGATTCACAAAACAAGTTTACCCATCAACAGCACCACCTTCATAGCCCGCAATCCTAAAGTCGGCGAGCTGCCGCAAAGAAATGTCAAGCGATAGGGCGCACCCTGCCAGCAGTGGGACATCCTCTAAGCCTTCAGCCTAGGTCCTTAGGCTCAGCACCTCCCTGACTCGACGAAACCGGGCTCAGCAAGTTTTGACACCTCTCAATAATGCAAACACTTCAAGGACTTAGCTATATACATAACTCCCAGAAACCTTCAAACTCATCAAAGGGGGAAAAAACCTCACGTCAAGGGACGGCTGACTCACATGAGCCCAGCTGACACGCGCCTGGAGCGGCATGCACATAGACCTCAGGCATGGGCCAACACCTCTTCAGCTTTGGGTTATCGAGATAAAGCGAGCCTTATTAAACATGCAGCTGTGGCTCAAAAAACCGGAATTCCAAAATGGGTTGCCCTGGTAAGTGGAAACATGGACCAAAACCTGCGTACCCCCTCCTGTTTAATTTTGAGCCACCCCCATGTAAACTCTCCCAACATGGAAGCCCCCCCATAGATGAATCCACCCTGTTGATTCAGTTTTGTTTGGGATCAACATAACCTATTTCTGCCCGGGGGAGGGGAAGGATCGCAGCAGCCGCAAAGCGTGTTTGTTTGTCTATGTGTATTGTTGTGAGGAGATAGTTACCCTCGCACCAATGTGGGTTGGTGCACAGCCCCCTTTTGGACGAGTAACTTCCTTTGGCAAAGGGAGTCTGTGCACCTCCCTTTTTGGTGGGATGGGATTGTCTGAAGGGAGAAAAGGTCACGAAGTGCCAGCAGAAATGAACTGCAGGATCAAAGAACTGTTGCAATGCTGGAAATGGAATGATGCCCCCCTTGTCAGCCATATTCCATCCCCACATATCTCCCTTGGCCAGCTACTTAGGGTTGCTCCAAACGCTTATCATAAACGCTTATCATAGCCCCCCAGGATAGAACCTTGCTTTTCTTGCTTTTCTAGGGGTTGATTCCAAACATTCTTTTCAACCGTGGTTCTTTTCAACAAGCTGTTTTGTCCCATGGGTTTTTCGGGTTGCCTGAAAAGAAGCATCCCTGGAAAGAATGGGGAAGCTTTTTCTAGGGCTTGGCGTCCTTCGGTTTCCTGTTGCAGGAGCCAATGGTCTACCCTTGTGCCGGTGCGTTCCAAACGACATTGAATCATGTCCTGCAAATCTGAAGGGGCTCAGTGTCAAGGATACGCCCTCATAACTTTGCGAGCATGTTCAGGGACAACCCTTCATGGCCAAGGACATTGTATTGCAGGATTCTGCCAGGAAACTCTCTGGAACTTCTTCTAGTGTCTCAAAAGAGGCCGTAGCTTAAGTACCGCCAACCAAACGATTCATCTCCTTCTGCTCTCACTTCCTATGTGGATTGCCCAAAAGAAGTCCCGGAACTTTTATTTACCAAAACGGTCCAACCAACCCCCAAACAAACGACGAAAGTCGAAAAAAAACACCAGAAGCCCGGGAACTGTTCTTTGTTTTTCCACCAACATGGTCCATCCAACCCCCCAAAAACACGAGCAGGCAGTGAGAAACGGTCTTCCCGGGTAAAAGCGGGCAGACCCACGTCCGCGTCTCTAAAATCTGAGGCTCCGGCGCCGGGCACCAGCTGCCGGACATGGGGTCGTACATCATCTCAGGGAAGGAATCCGGAGAAGACCCCCAGCGTTTTCCATAGTCAGCCGCTAAACGGAGGCCGCACCCTCCCCAAACAAAAACCAAAACACTTGGCGCTCGGGTTTGTCCTCCATAAGTTTGTCCATGTAATGTTTTTTTTTTTTCCCCATCATGGTCAACCCAAATGGAGGCCGCGCCCAAAAAAAAAGAACACTGGGTGTGCCTCAGGTTATTTCAAAAGGGAGGGACAGTTGTTGCTCTTTTTCTGGGAGGCGAATTTCAGAGGATCCAGCTGGGACTTCGGAAAGGCAAAAGCCAGCCCTGCCAGTGGAGATGGTCTTGGGAACTCTGGAGAAATTGCAGAAGGGAAACCAAAAGGAAAGCATCAGGAAGGGCCCTTAACTCTGAGAAGCACAAACATGCTCGTCTTCAACTATCTGCACATTTCGCCAAAAATAGCTGGTTGCAGCCTTAGACCCTGGGCTCACAAAAGACGGCTCACCTCATTTGTGTGTCCACCCGTTGAAACCAATTTGCCACGTTCAACCCAGCTGTCACTTGTAAATCCATTCCAGCTCAATCGTGTCTGACTAACGATTAAGGTTTTGTTTTTGTTGTAGACAGGACATTCGGCTGGTTTGAGTCCATTAAGGTGCCACTAAAGGCAGCGTGGTTGACTTGTTTGTGATACTCCTGCCAAGTGATTGCCCTCTAGCACCAACTGGGAACAAACAACTGGAAAGAGAGTTTGTTTTGTAAATTCCAAGCAACACCTACTCATAGAAGCCAGCTAAGAGAAATTCTACATGCAATCAGCCCAAAGAGCATCTTGAAAAGCAAGGTTTGGCTATTTGCCTGTAGACATGCCGCAGCCAGCATTGAGGCATTCCCTCCAATTGGCGTTTTGGAATGGCGTTTTGCAGGCTAGGGGGTTTACCGTTTACTTCCGATGTTTCTCTAGTTTTCCTACTACCCTCCGCGCAAACTAAAGGACTGCGTCTCTGTCCCAGGCCGGCATCTGGTAGTAGGCCGACATGTCGCTGTCGTAAGCCATGCCTGCATCATCACTCTCTAGACAAAGTAGCTCATCAAATTACAACACTTTCTAACCTGAAGTAAGGAATCACCGGCTTAGCCCTCGTTACGGGTGAGCTGGTACCCCCAGCTCCTTAGAAGTCGTGCGGAAGCTATGGCAAGTTGGCAAAAAAGCGTTTTTCGTGGCCAGATTGAGTCAAACCCGTCGTACAACAAGCGCCATAAGCAGCGTGCAGTTGCAGAAATCACCGATTCCATCATACTGAATTTATCAGCGGGGATCCCTTGATACCATAGAAATCAATGGGGTTTCCAAAACAAAATGGCTATGGATCGCGTGCACACAGCCTGCCACAGCTTCCATTCTCTTCAGGTTACGTGGTCAGTCTGCAAGGAGACGCTCACCCCGGAGCTTGTAGCGGAAGCTTCATCGTGTTGATCAAAGACTCACTTGCTCAAAGGACAAGGGCCAAGGGAGGGTAGAAGGAATGCTTCTGAACAACCCCAAATTCTGTATGATTCATGAACCTTCCTAGCGCGTTGTGTAAATGGATGCCAAGGGTTGCCAACAGCTCACCCAATGTTCATGAAGGAACCCGATTTTTCATTTTGAGAGTGTCTGAGCTGGCCCAAAAGACAAGTTGCAAGTTCAAGCAAACGGGTCAATGCCGTGAACACAGCAGCCAAACCAATCATTCATAACATGCAGTAAACTGCGACTGGCTCCATATCTTTGACACTTGTGCACATTTCAAAGCTAAACCCTTCTTGGCCTTATTCAGAGAAAACATAGCCCACCCACTTTGGAGGGTGCCAGATTTTCACTCACACACACACACACGCACGCACGCACGCACGCACGCACGCCCGCACGCCCGCACGCTTTGTGAATCAACGCGCCGGCATAGCGCAGTCTCTTGAGCGCTCCTGTTTCGAAAGCATTGGTGCGATAGCCGAGCATCTTGCCAGCGTGGCAGGCAAGAACGGTGCATCGAATTTGTGAACAAAAAACACGTGCAGATCAATTCAAAGCTTCTCCCGAGCAGCAGGGTAGCGCGCCGCTCAGCATTGCGAAGCGTATGGAATTTGAGAGGGCACAGTGTGACATCACAAACAGGTCGACAATGGGGCCGAGTCTCAAAAGGGACCCCCTCCAGATGGCTGGTTTCTTTGCGTCTTTAAGCAGCTCCGAAAGGCTGTTCCCCCGTTTTGAGACAGACTCGGGCATCCGCACCTTTTAAAAAACTGCAGAGGCCGGTGATTCCTAGCCGTCCTTTTCCAACAAACGATGCACTGGAAAATCACGAGCACCGTGCTCAATCAAACCATCCTTCAAAACCAACCGAAATGACACACTACAACTTCAAGACTGACCTCAAAGGCGCCATCCTAGATAGCCAAGTTGCTTCTTTTTTCAGTCACTGTTGCTGGTTTTTTGTGGTAAAGTGGATGGAAAAAAGCTATCGCAACTGGCGATCCAGGATCGAATTCCAGCCAGACTGAAAATCGAATACCTCGGCTCGCGCTTTAGCGCACTGCGCCCTCACCGGGCTGCCCTCGCTGCGGCTTCTGCAGCCGCTGCGACCAGCTGGGCAGCGGTCGCCTCTCATGTCGCACTTGGCTGAGTTTGGGATGGAATGGGCCCCTAGTAACCATTTCCATTGGCACCTAGGTCCTCCAGTAGAGAGGTTCGAATACGGGTACCCTTTTTTTCTGTAGTCTTTATTTTAATCAGGGAACCCGCCCCCCAAAAAACGGGGTAGAGCAGGGCACCTAGCTGGGGGACCTAGGCACGTGGCACAGTCCTGAGTGGCAGTTCTGAATGTCAGCTATGGCAAAGGAACGAATCAGCGTATCTGAATCATCGGGGCCCCAATCAACCCTTAGGGAGTCCGAGTCTACGTGATGTCCACACTCAAATTGGGGCCCCATCTGGCGAAAGAGTCCTATGGGCACACAGCCATTGATGTCCACACTCAAAATTGCAAACGAGCCTTGCAATCAAAATTGCAAAAGAGTTTTGCACATGCCGAATGCCAAGCCAGTCAGAACATTGATTGGGGCTGAGTGGCAGCGCCTTTGACAGCTCAAGTCAAGTGAAGACAGTCTGCAAGCAATATTCTTGCAAAGCCCCAACCCCAATTGGGCACTCCCCCGAGAAAAAAAAAAAAAGAACAAACACTCTCTGGAACCAAACTAATTCAGGCACACATTTGCAGGTGAGATGACATCGGCCGGGGTTTTCGCAAACACAGCAAACCAATTAGGGATCCTTACATTATACACCTGAACATTGCCTTTTCATGGTGGTTTCAACCTTTATTTTGGTGTTGAAAAAGCGTTTCCGGTATGGCTTCCGTAAAGCGACCGAGACGTGGAGGAACATGGAGTGCTGTTGCTTTGAACCACCTCCAGTTGCGTTTTTGTCCCCGGGAAAAAAAAAGGTAGTGAAATCGATTTCAGTAGTGAAATCGATTTCCTTTAATACACCAACAGGGAAAAAAATCATTTCAGCAAATGGAAGACCAACAAGTACTGGGCAACCATCATAGGAACGGTGACTCGAATCTGGCTCGAGGCCTTTCGGGGCAATGAGTTTGCTTGACCAGAGCAAGCACACAACTTCATACCATGGATCTCGTGGAGTTCACGCTCTCTGTCTCTCTCCCCTCTCTGTGTCGCAACATAGGCAACCTGGGTGTCCCTTTGGTTTCCCGCCAAAGCTGCGCTCGGAGACCCCGAACAGAGCCAAAGCTGGAACATCCAAGCAACAAGCAATTGTTCATAGGATCCCCCCCACGCCCCTGCGCTTCCCAAAAAGAACAAGAAGGTAACATAGCCTTAAGGCCTCATCTGCCGAAAACCTGGGAAACGGCTCTAGGACTCCCTTGAGTTCTCGTCCTCCGGCGCAGCGAGCGGCTCGACTCCGCGCCGCCTCTGGCACTGGAGCGGGCACGGCCGCTGCCGCCCTCCAAGCCTTAAGGCGCCAGGGGCGAGAAGGAACTAAGTTGCGGACATGGGAGGGGCTACTGTGGATGGACGAAATCCTGCACTTGGAAACCATGGTCTTTTTGGTATTTGCAGGGAAATCATCCTTCCAGGGTCTCTGAGTGCAGGATTTCGTCCATCCACAGTACCTTCGACTGCAACTTGTTTCATGTCCAATGGAAATCCGCCAAACACCACACACTTTTCAGTCCACTTTGCAAGCACTAATGCGAACCATGCGCAAAGCCAGAGTTTTTCAAATGTTCTCATTTCGGTTGTTGCATTGAAAAAACCATGTGAAGAGTGGCCCAAAAGGACAACAGTCATTCGTGTTCCGTTGAGGCAAAATCACACTTTCTTGACGCAGCCCACAATGAAACGGTTTCTCGAGGCGCTTTTCTGAAACGGTGCAACAGTTGGCTTCGGGCGGAACTAGTGTCTGGTACCAACCCCAAGGTTTGTTAATGAGAAACACCTTGATTCCTACTGTCCCACCGCATGCTCTGATCACCATGTGTTCTCCATGGTAGCATCTGAAGAGACATGCAACACAAACAAGTTGCTGTGTGAAACGTATTGCTAGTGCGATGAACGTTATGAGCGGCTGTTGTGTGAGTTCGATCGTTATTGCCGCCACCTAAAACTTGCCGTTTTGCATGATGCAAGCAAAACACCAAGAAAAGCCTGCCATTTTGAGGGGTGCCCGATTGGGTGATATTCACAGCATCCATGCGTGCGAGCTGAGGACAAATTTACTAGTTTCAGTCAAAAGAAAAGGAAGAACATTGGGCTGTCCACCTGGTTGGTGCGGAACCTGGTGTTGTCTTCGTCACCCCCCCTTCTCCTCCCCAAACCCGCAGCATACCAAGATTGCCAGCCGCAAACAAGCTTGAAACCCCCCTTTTTGAAACCAACCCCCCCTTTTTGAACGCCCCCTTTTGAAACCAAACAGTATGTCTAACCCCCCTTCTTGAAACCAAACATCTGCAGCTCGGCCGCCCTTTTGGCGCGTCCAAACCCCCCCGCCTGCGAACGAGGCCTGCGGAAGCGGCGGCACCGGGCGGCGTAGGTGGCGCCGTCCAAGACGTCAGCCAGAGGCTCAGCGGAGAGCGGCATGAGCGCGGAGACCGCCAGCTTTCCCGGATATTCCTGAGGATTGACCACTGTGATAAGGGCTGACTTATTCCTGAGGGCTGTGAAAAGTGACCGCTGTACAAGAAAAAGGGCTTCCCAAAGAGGAACCACCCAAAGGGGGAGATTCCAAAAGTATCACGGGGGGAAATTGACCACGTTTGTGATACGAAGGGCTTCCTTCAAAGACTCACCCCCCAAAGGGGGAGATTCGCTTCTATAGTGGGGATAGCCCCCGAGCGATCCCAAAACCCTGTTCCTGAGATACGCTCCGTAAAGGCTGGTGAGGTTTCTCTGGCTCGTTTCTTTGGCTCCCCCAATGTCCATAGCAGTTGACCTGTTCAGCAGATCATTTGGGGTTGCTTCCAGCCTTTTAGCGGGGAAGCCACCAAGATCCACCAAGAAAATTTGTATGATGCTGGCATCAATACAACCAAAACAATTGGAGAGGAAACCCTTCACTTGGGACCACCTTTTCAGTCACAAGAAGTACTAGTCGGTAACGGGGAACCAACAAGAATACCAAGTATTTGCAACCTAAGATGGCAGCAAAAGTTTGCATATGTTTATTTACTATATTTAATTGGTGGGTGCACCAAGAGCAACTTTCTCCAAACATAACGTTTTTCTGGGTTCCATGGTTGTCAGCACATACCCAGTAGCAACTAGGGACCCGAACTTTTAAAAATGGAAACGTTTCTTCCGGGTGGTTGATTCCATTTTCGGAAGTCCCGAACCAAACAACAAGGCAGTTGTAGCGTGCAACTGAAGAACTGAAAGGCTGAATGTATGAACACCTGAGATATATATTCGGGAGACAGAACTTGCTGCATCTCTCCTTGAAATCTCTCATTTTTTGATTAATAATCATGTACCCGCACGTAGCCCGCCTGGCTCTATCCACGTGGTGGGTGGCACGTGCTGGGTCGGATTGAATTGCCCGCTTCTAGCTGAAGGCATTCTGAAAATCCTGATGCTTCAAAACACACATAATATTCCAACACACACACACACACATTTGCGTGTATACTTCAGATACAGCCAGCCCATGCTATGAAACAAGTCGCTCCGCATCCCAACCTAAAATGAGAAGACACTGAACAACAATGCACGAGAAAACGCAGGGAAACAGCCACTTCGTTGAACCAGTACGTCTTCCCACCCACTGACTTCTTCATTACTTGGTTGCTGACGACCCCTCGGCAAAACGATTCCACTTTTTCCGGATCCAACGGAAAATCCGGGCTGTTTCAGACCTCCTTCCTTGAGGGCTCCTGTCGCCAGGTATCAGTGTCTCGTTTTCCCACATCTGGACCTTTGCTATATTATACACAACCTCGCTCCCCCGACTTGATACCTTGCCTTGCGCCAAAGCCACTAAGCTTGAGCATCATCTTTTCCAGAACAAACAAATCCCAGCGCCGCCCCACGGAGCTTTGACCCGTTTCGTCCGAGGCGCCAAGGTGGGCCCCATGACGTAGCACCGCAGCAGCACCCGCGGCGCCAGCAGCTGCTTGGAGTTCTCGGGCAAGGAGAAGGTGGCCGTGATGGCCTCCTGGCCATGGTGAGCCAGCTGTGGCTCAAAAAACCGGTATACCAAAATGGGTTGCCCGATCGGTAAGTGGAAACATGGGTTTCCCAAAACCCGCGTTTGCCCCTCCTGCTTAATTTTAAGCCACAGCCATATGGACGAAATCCATTTCGCACATTGCACGTAACCATGGGCCATGCGTGCTTGAAGCCTCCAAGAGCCGCAGTCTCACTGGTCCAACGCAAATCGGCCGGATCTACCCTGTTGATGTGGTCCATACTGCGGATGGACGAAATCCATTTCGCACCAAAGAAACCATGGGAGGATAGTAGCCATGTAAACACCAGCAAAGAATGGTTTCAACCATGGTTTCGAAGTGGTGCGAAATGGATTTTGTCCGTCCACAGTAGGTGTCCTTTTTGGGGAAAATAGATGGGTGTCCCTGGTAGTTGATGGAACCACCAGGTAAACCAGGAATCACCCTCTATGTTTCGACCAAGTTTAACTAAACAGGACACCTATGGGGGTGAGCTTCATGGGAATGCAAAGGTGAAAAAGGTGAAACGACACCGACAAACATGGTTACAAACATGCCAAGCCCCCAACCAAGCCATAGAAGGCGGCTACGGTACAAACAATTGGCTAAATGCCTTGTGTGCCTGTAGGCTGTTTGGCTATGCGTTGTAGGACTATGTGCAGCTATTTTCCACCCAGGCCGTAGCCACACGAAAGAACGTTTTTTTTGTTTCACCGATGTTCAACTGGCCCCCCCGAACGAAAAGGGAAAGGGCACAACTCCTTTTGTAGCTGAGTTCAACCAGAACAAACCACCAAAAAAATGGACCAACCTCCACCTTTGGCAGATGAAACCAACCGGGAAGCCCAAACCAACAAGAACAAACAATGGACAAACCGCCACCTTTTGTAGATGAAATCAATCGGGAACTTTTCTAAACCAAGCGGACCGGCCCCAGGCGTCGGATCTCCGGCGTCGGCGCGCCTTGCAGCTGCGGGCCACGTAGAGGCCGCCGCGGTGCTGCCGCTGGACGGGGCTCCGCAGGATGCGGCCCACGGCGTATTCCGTGACCTCCAGCGGATCCCGATCCCGCGGAGGGAAGGTCCCACACAGCTTGGGCCTTTTGCAAACCCCCATGTAGGTTCTAAAGGAAACTCAAACGGCCTCAGAACCTCGAAAGCCTGAGCTCTGCCCAGCACAGGGATCCTTACCTTGTACACCTGAACATTGCTTTGTAGATGGTGGTTTCCCTTTTCATTTTGGTGGAAAAAGCCATGTGTCAAATGGGCAAAAAAAAATCCGAAAGCATCGCGAAGGGTTCTTCCGTGCGGAGCCCTTGGACAAGTTACATAGAGCCAAGTTACATAGAGCCAAGTTACATAGAGCCAAGTTACATAGAGCCAAGTTACATAGAGCCAAGTTACATAGAGCCAAGTTACAGAGAGCCAAGTTACATAGAGCCAAGTTACATAGAGCCAAGTTACATAGAGCCAAGTTACATAGAGCCAAGTTACATAGAGCCAAGTTACATAGAGCCAAGTTACATAGAGCCAAGTTACATAGAGCCAAGTTACATAGAGCCAAGTTACATAGAGCCAAGTTACATAGAAGTTACATAGAGCCAAGTTACATAGAGCCAAGTTACATAGAGCCAAGTTACATAGAGCCAAGTTACATAGAGCCAAGTTACATAGAGCCAAGTTACATAGAGCCAAGTTACATAGAGCCAAGTTACATAGAGCCAAGTTACATAGAGCCAAGTTACATAGAGCCAAGTTACATAGAGCCAAGTTACATAGAGCCAAGTTACATAGAGCCAAGTTACATAGAGCCAAGTTACATAGAGCCAAGTTACATAGAGCCAAGTTACATAGAGCCAAGTTACATAGAGCCAAGTTTACATAGAGCCAAGTTACATAGAGCCAAGTTACATAGAGCCAAGTTACATAGAGCCAAGGTTAGGTAGAGCTTAGAGCTTCGGCGTTAGCAGCTATGTAAGTTAGTTTAGGTTTCTAAGGCGCCGGGGCGGGAGTTTGATCGTCGCTCGGGATTGCGACCCTCTGCGGAGATTCGCGTGGTCGAGGTTCAAAAACTGAGGACTTTTCGTAGTACGTCGGAGCGTGCTCCTGCAGTTCATAACTTTTTCGTGCAGACGTAGTGTGCGGAGCGTGCTTTCGGAGCTCAGGCTGGAAAATCGCAACTTTTAAGTACAAACGTAGTACGCGGAGCACGCCCCCACAGCTCCAGCTTGAAAATCGCATCTTTTAAGTACAAACGTAGTACGCGGAGCGTGCTCCTGCAGCTCCGGGTGGAAAAGCGTAATTTTTAAGTACAAACGTAGTACGCGGAGCACACCCCCGCAGCTCCGGCAGCACTTGCGCAGAGCAACTTGCGCAGAGTCACTTGCGCAGAGCAACTTGCGCAGAGCAACTTGCACAGAGCAATTGCACAAAGCACTTGCGCAGAGCAACTTGCACAGACCAACTTGCACAGAGCACATGCGCAAAGCGCTTGCGCGGAGCAACTGGCGCAGAGCCCTTGCGCAGAGCAACTTGCTCAGAGCACTTGCGCAGAGCAACTTGCACAGAGCACTTGCGCAGAGCAACTTGCACAGAGCAGGCGCAGAGCAACTTGCACAGACCAACTTGCGCAGAGCACATGCGCAAAGCGCTTGCGCGGAGCAACTGGCGCAGAGCACTTGCGCAGCAACTTGCGCGCAGCAGCCTGGAACAATGCAGCTTGCGCAGACCACTTTCGTGAGAAATCGCGCGGCGCAGTTCGAGAGGAAAGTAGGATGATGAGATGGAGCTCTCATGTGACCATACACACTGAGCATCGCCGCGCGCAGACACGCTCGCCGAAGCGATGTAAAAAGGTGTCTCCGCGGCTGGATGAGCA